TAGATAGATAGGTAGATAGATAGATCGATAGGTAGATAGATAGATAGATAGGTAGATAGATAGATAGGTAGATAGATAAATAGATCGATAGCCAGGTAGATAGATAGATAGATAGGTAGATAGATAGAGAGATTGATAGGTAGATAGATAGGTAGGTCGATAGATAGATCGATAGGTAGGTAGATAGATAGATAGGTAGATCCATAGGTAGATAGATAGATAGGTAGATAGATAGATAGGTAGATAGATAGATAGGTAGACAGATAGATTGATCGATAGGTAGGTTGATAGATAGATAGATAGATCGATAGATCGATAGGTAGGTAGATAGATAGATATAGAGATAGATCGATAGGTAGGTAGATAGGTAGATAGGTAGATAGAAAGATAGAAAGATAGAAAGATAGAAAGATAGATAAAAACCACAATGATCCCATGTTTTTCCCATGACTCATCAGATTCAATGGCCCAGGGACCACATGTTCGGCCAGGAGTAGGGCCACACGCTGCACTGCCTCGAAATGGAAAAACATATGGGATCCTTAAGTGGAGAGCTTATGAATGGTAGATGATTGATCGCACTCATTAACATTGAAAAATGGTAATAGATCATAGAAATTGATTTATGGAGAATGTATGAGTGGTAGATGGTTAATAGATGGTCAATGATGATTAAATTCTTAATCAAAATGGATCTTTGATGAAAATAAAATGGTAATAGATGGTTAATGGTAATAGACGGTAATATATATAGATGGTTAATAGATTGGTAATTGATGAAATGGATCATTTATGAATGTTTTTTGATTGGTTTTTGATTATCTTATGGATGGTTAATCATTAATAGATGAAAAAAAAAATGTTCAACAAATCTGGATGGTTAATTATCAACATATGTTTTTCTTGTGCTTTATATATATATATATCCATTCGTGAATCAATAGCCGGTTTTGTCATGGGGGTACCCCCAGTCATCCAGTCGTGACCAGTGGTTGCGAAATCCTGCTTTCCTAAGCCATGGTGGATCCCCAGTCGTCACCGATTGTTTCAATACGACTTGTCATGGTCCATGACTTGGAGGACTGGGGGGTACCCCCATGACTTTGGAAATCTCCATGTTTTTTATCACCAAAAAGATCGAAATGTGGATTTGTTAGAATGACTATCCATTGATCCTCTTATGAACTATCTACTCAGTATCCATATGGGTTTGTCTGAGAATATACCCTCAAAATATCGCGTCTTCGGAAGGGAAAATTATGATAAACCATTGGATTTATATAGAGTACCCTGTGTTTAGAGAAACCCATAGAATATCATCTAATGATAACAAAACTATGAACCTACTGAAAAAGCTTGAGAATGATAGGGTTTTTTCAATCAATCGAATGAGCGTTTTACATTATAGCCGAAAATGATCCACTTATATAGAGTATACATATATGTATATATAATTATATATATGCAGTATATACCATATATATATACCCTCTTGTTATTTGTTACATAGCTATGGAAGCCACGACCCATGATTTTGCGAAAGTCCACTGGATTAATGGATGTTCCAGTTCGATGCTATATCCCCATGAAATAATATAGTATATCCACTTACTTATAGAGTATACATATTATATATATATATGTACATCATTATAAATGGATGTTTCTAGCTAGAAAAAAATATAAATGGATGGAACACAAAAAAAAAAAACATTGTTTTCAGTACAACCAGATGGTATATCCATGTTAATGCTGGGTAAATTATTATATTTCACTAACCTGAATTAAGGCCATTTGGGGATGATTTCCCTTACTAACCATGATTTCCAGGCTTCGGTCGCAGTGAGGTCGTGATCAAATTTACCCAGATAATGGAACATTATTCATTAGGTTGGGTAAATCCATTGTTTTCAGTACAACCAGATGGTATATCCATTGTTCCATAATGGAACATCATTGGTTAGGCCATTGATCCATCCATTTTCCCAGGATCCAATGGCCTCCTTCTGCGTGGCGCGGTCCACATACCTTGCCTCTTGCGCCAAGGCCTATCAGGAGATGCCCACCACTGGGGGCACTTTCCCATGAAATATAGGCGGAAAACCTGGAAAAGCATGGAAAAGCTGTAAATGAAAACCCTTCAACCAATCTAATGATTCGTGAAAAACCAACGAAAAATCTTCGGGCATTCTAAGGATTTATGAGGAATGATGATCTGAGTGAAGCAAGAAACATAAAGATTCTCAACAACAATGCAAAGAATCTTGAAGATGTATCACTTAGCCATCATCAAAAATGGTAGGAATTCAGTTGTGAACTGAGAAGGACAGTTAAGAGATAGGGGGTGGAAAAATTCAGCAAGGAGCACTTGGGATTTGACTCACCATGGGATGATTTGACTCTGAGAATTTACCCCAAACAAGGAGAGTGCTGGGCGGCTACCAGAGATAGTCGCCCACTCAGGTTTTGCTGAACTTCCCAAGCATGTCACTCTGTAGTGCGTTGCGCCCTCAAGGCGTAAAACTTTGTGGCCTGAACCCTGCAAAAAAATGCGAAACCAGTGAGGGCAAATCAAGCTGCATTTTGCCATCACAGTAGAAGCCGAACCATATCAAAACACATTTTTCTATTTGAGTACGAAGCCCTGTCAGGCGGAAGGCAAGAATCTATGGACCTCAAAAGTACAGGAAACCAATGAACCATGACCAAGCATCAAATCCCATCTGTCACAAAGTCCTAAAGACTCCCAACAACTTCCCCCATGCCCAAAAGATTCCATTGGTAAACACCATCATAGCTTGCCCATTAAAAAAATGTGTGCCCTTCTTTTGGGGGTCAATCCCACATCACAGTGTTAATTTATATATATGTATAATATTATTATTATTAAGTTATTATTATTATCTCCACGTTATATCCCCATTACATCCCACATAAAGCTTCTAATTGTTATTCGTTAACTCCATAAGTTTGCTGAATTTCCATGAGTTCCCCTATGTTTGATGCGGAAAAATCCCCCTGAAATACCTCCTTCCACTCCTTCGACTTGGCAATGCTGAAGCCATCCTCCGACATTGAGGTAAACAGCAAGCCCTTTATGGATCTTTATGGATCTTGATGGTCTATAATAACCAAAGCGTCATATGATATGACATTGATTTGGGATAAGTGGGGTGTGTAGGATAAATGGGATATAATAATAACCATAATAATTAATAAGAAGAAGAAGAAGAATACAAATTGATAATAATAACAATAACAATAATAAACATAAATATTAATATTGATAATTAAAAGTACTAATTAAAAGTAATAATGATGATAATGATAATAATGAAATATATAATAATGATAATAATAACAATAACAACAATAATAGTAATAATAATAATATATATATATGTTTTGATATGATGGGGATAGTGGAATAAATGGGGATAATAGGCAAAGCTTGATATGATGGATTTGGAACCTGAAGAGTATGGGAGAAACACTAAAATCTCAGCTCATGTTTTAGGAGGAAAAAAAACGTGTTCCCTACAAAACAAGAAAAACAATGTTGAGACAAATCCAAATGAAATGGCAAACCCCCAGAGATGTGCGGTTCAAAAAAGATGTGTCTTGGATTTTTTCTGGTGTGTGTTTTCCCCTTCAAACCGGAGATATGACCACCAAATGAAAGCACCCAGATCCAATCATGGGAATATAACTGGCAGATCTCGTGGGAAGATGTTTGGTATTGCAGATAGGATTGACGATGTTTGAAACTTGAAACACAACTTCTTTGACAGTTTTTGAGTCAGGGCCCAACCAAAAAACAAACAGACCCTCTGGTGAAGGCTTTCTAGTGAAAAAAAAAAATACACCACCGTAGACCCCAAACAGTAGGTAGATTCAAGAAGTGTTTCGAGTAACAAGGTCAAACACATGAGAAAGCATTAAGAACCCCTAACAGTACACTGTTTGGGGGAAAAGGCAAAATAAGACCACCCGCTACAAAGGGAAACAAGAAGAGAGACAAGCTGGGAGACAAGCTGGGAGACAAGCTGGGAGAAAAGGGAGGCAAGGCTTCGGGAAGACGGGTACACCATCCTACGCAGGCAAACAAGAAGGGAGACAATGGGAGACACGGGGGAGACAAGACCTCGGGAAGGCGGACGCACCATCCAACAAAAGCAAAGAAGAAGAAGAAGAAGAAGAAGAAGAAGGGGTGCAATGGGAGACAAAACTCTCAGGAAGGCGGACACACCATCCAACAAAGGGAATCAAGAAGGGGTATAATGGGAGACAAGGGGAGACAAGACCCTCGGGAAGGCAGACACACCATCAAACAAAGGGACGCAGGAGACAAGACCCTCGGGAAAGCGTCCACACCATCCAACAAAGGGCAACAAGAAGGAGCACAATGGGGGACAATGGGAGACAGGGGCCAAGACCCTCGGGAAGGCGAACACACCATCCAACAAAGGGAAGCAAGAAGCGGTACAATGGGAGACAAGGGGAGACAAGACCCTCGGGAAGGCGGACACACCATCCAACAAAGGCAAAGAAGAACGGGTACAATGGGAGACAAGAGCCTCGGGAAGGCGGACACAACATCCAACAAAGGCAAAGAAGAAGGGGTACAATGGGAGACAAGACCCTCGGGAAGGCGGACACAACATCCAACAAAGGCAAAGAAGAAGGGGTACAATGGGAGACAAGACCCTCGGGAAGGCAGACACACCATCCAACAAAGGGCAACAAGAAGGGGTACAATGGGAGACAAGGGGAGACAAGACACTCGGGAAGGCAGATACACCATCCAACAAAGGCAAAGAAGAAGCGGTACAATGGGAGACAAGACCCTCGGGAAGGCGGACATGCCATCCAACAAAGGCAAAGAAGGGGTGCAATGGGAGACAGGGGCCAAGACCCTCGGGAAGGCGGACACACCATCCAACACAGGCACACATGTGGGGAGACAATGGAAGGGAAGGGGAAATAAGACATTGGAAAGGCGGACACACCATCCAACAAAGGCAAAGAAGAAGGGGTACAATGGGAAACAAGACCGTCGGGAAGGCGGACACACCATCCAACACAGGGAAACAAGAAGGGGTACAATGGGAGACAGTGGGAGACAGGGGCCAAGACCCTCGGGAAGGCGGACACACCATCCAACAAAGGCAAAGAAGAAGAAGGGGTGCCATGGGAGACAAAACTCTCAGGAAGGCGGACACGGAATCCAACAAAAGGAATCAAGAAGGGGTATAATGGGAGACAAGGGGAGACAAGACCCTCGGGAAGGCGGACACACCATCCAACAAAGGCAAAGAAGAACGGGTACAATGGGAGACAAGAGCCTCGGGAAGGCGGACACAACATCCAACAAAGGCAAAGAAGAAGGGGTACAATGGGAGACAAGACCCTCGGGAAGGCGGACACACCATCCAACAAAGGCAAAAAGGAAGGGGTACAATGGGAGACAAGACCCTCGGGAAGGCGGACACACCATCCAACAAAGGCAAAGAAGAAGGGGTACAATGGGAGACAAGACCCTTGGGAAGGCGGACACACCATCCAACAAAGGCAAAGAAGAAGGGGTACAATGGGAGACAAGACCCTCGGGAAGGCGGACACACCATCCAACAAAGGCAAAGAAGAAGGGGTACAATGGGAGACAAGACCGTCGTGAAGGCGGACACACCATCCAACACCAAGGCGGACACCTTAAGAAAGCATTAAGAAATTTGAAACACAACTTCTTTGACAGTTTTTGAGTCAGGGCCCAACCAAAAAACAAACAGGCCTTATGGTGATAGTGTGCCAGTGAAAAAAAATAAACCAACCAAGATCATGTGCCATGATGACCATCCCATAGAGACCATCTGATCTGTTGCCTCCCCGACCACATGTGGGTCTCGGTTTACGGTGGAGAAGAAGTTGAGGTTCACCTGCCGGGGTTGCCGAAGTGTCCCTTGTTGGGTGGATTTTGAACATCACCTGAAAAAAAAAAGTATTTGGAGATTATATATTCTTGACATTCCCAATAGTTGGGTGATGTCAAAAAATGAGGACGTTTACCAAATTTACCCTTGTGTCAAAGCCTAGAAATCCCACAAGTGACACATCCCAGCCAAGTCACACGAAAAAATCACCTGGGGTCCCAGCCTCCATGCCACTCTTCGTCCCAGAGTAGCCTGCAGCATCATGTGCCAAGAACCAGAAGATACGAACCACCAAAACCAGGTCAGAAATCACCCTGGTAGCCTTCTGTTTCCCCTGATCCAGCCCGGAACTCTGGCTCAAAATGTTTGATCCCAGTCCCATCGTACCCCATCGGCATATTCAAAAGAAAATATTCAGGTTGATCCCCATGTTTCAATCCACTCATTTAAGTGTGCATGTTCAGAATGTACAAATCAAAATAGACAAAAGTTTAATTTACCACTATTTCTGAATCGGATTCCACTTTTCATCTTAACTTGGTTGCTTCTCGCCAGGTGAACCACATTGCCTGTCATCCCCACGTAGGTGGGTGGCACTGGCACCTCAGCGGTCATAAAATGACAGCGAAGTTGTGGAAGTTGTGGTTTCATTTGGAATCGTTTTGAATCATCCAAAGTCCATATAGGAATGACTGGAACCCATTTGGAATGATCTCGTCTTCATTTGGAATCAGTACATTTCCCCCTGGTGCCAGCACAGTGTTTTGTTTCGCCTCTTTGTCAAAGCTGCAGAGGTACAGCTTTGAAGTCTCAAAGTCGTCAAGTTATGGTCTGGCAAATAAAAAAATGAAAAGATCGCAATCTGCCACAATCCCTTACCCTCATATTTGTTCTACCAGATTCTACCACCCAGAAAGTCCTAAATGTCTTGGATCCAGGGCCCCTGGGGATGAGCCCCACGGCCCCGTGGCTGGGTAATCCCACTGGAAGGGTCTTGCTGGGCAAACTCAGAAGTTGCTGCCATGGTTCCTCATCCTGCACGTCCTGCGGACATGGGCCACCTCCTTCAGCTGCAACCCTACAGCAACCCCACGGGATCTATGGATAGCTATGGATAGCTATGGATAGCTTTGGATAGCTATGGATAGCTATGGACCTTGGAGCCACCAAATGATGGACTTCTTGTAGACCACCTCATTTTTGCTGATTTTTTGTAGCCGAGGGTCAGACTTCAGAGTTCATCATACACTTGTTTTTCTCCTCTGAAAAATCACCTACGTTGGGGTGGGTAACCACTATTTCACCACCAAAAACAATGATGTCAACCGCAAAATGGGCCGCGCAAATGCTCCCAAAAAAATAGATAAACCTGGATTTTCCATGTTAGAGCTGCCATTATGGTTTTTACCATTCTGTTTATAACCTATGGCTACCTATGGCTGGCTCTAAATCCACTGCCACTGCCATCAACTCGCCTTACCCAAGTAGGCGACAGCCTTGGCGACCCATGGCCCAATGTTGGATGATCCCATCCATATTATCCATATTTATGTTGAAATAGAGAGAGAGAGAGGGGGATTTATATATATATACCTATACGTAATTGGTATATGAATAAAAAATAACAACAATAATGTTAACGTTTACCATAGTGCCGCACAAGGCGGCGGCGGAAGTTTCAAAGATAGGACACTATCGGAGAAGTGAGTTGTCGTGATGCAAGGGTGGCAGAGCAAATCCACTGATGGACCGAAAGGTGATTGGAGTTACTTGGAGTGGCTGCAATGGTTGCAGTGGTCACCTCACCCACAAGTGCTGGATGTAGTGTGGTGTAGCGCAGCTGTAGCTGTAGTTGTAGTGTAGTGGAGTTGTAGCTGTAGTGTAGTGTAATTAGCGTAGTGTAGTTGAAGTTGTAGTTGTAGTTGTGGTGCGGTGTGGTGGAACGAGTGCGGTGTAATGTAATGTAGTGTGGTGTGCTGTAGTGTTGTGTACTGTAGTGTAGTCTAGTGTAGTGTAGTGTAAAGTAGTGTAGTTGTAGTTGTAGTTTTAGTTAGTGTAGTGTAGCGTAGTGTAGTTTAGTGTAATTAGCGCAGTGTAGTGTAATGTAGTGTAGTTGTAGTTGTCGTTGTAGTTGCAGTTGTGGTTGTAGTGTAGTATACTTAGTGTAGCGTATTGTTGTGTAATGTAGATGTAGTTGTAGTTGTAGTTGTAGCCTAGTGTAGTGTAGTGTAATGTAACTAGAATAGTTACTTGTAGCTGTAGCTGTAGCAGTAATAGTAGCTGTAGTTCTAGTTATAGCTGTAGTGTAGTTAGTGTAGTTAGTGTAGTTAGTGTAGTGTAGTGTAATTAGTGTAATTAGTGTAGTGTACTGTAGCGTGTGTAGTGTAATTGGTGTACTGTAGCTTGGTATTTTTGCATGTGTAGTTGTAGTGGTAGTGTAGTGTAGTTGCTGTTGCCGTTGCAGTTCTACTTCTAGTTGTAGTTATCTATCCATCCATCCATCTATCTATCTGTCTATCTATCTTACCTTACCTTACCTTACTTATCTTATCTATCTCTCTCTCTCTCTATCTGCAAGCTTGAAAACGAAGTTATTCTGCGAGGCTTCCTCAAGGTTTGAACGTGGCAACGTCAAAAACAAAGCAATTCTACGAGACTTCCTCAAGTTTTGAACGTGGCAACGTCAAAAACGAAGCACTTCTGCGAGACTTCCCCAATTTTCGAAGTTGACAACAGCAAAAACGAAGCAATTCTGCGAGATTTCCTTCAAAAATGGAAACTTGAGTGCAGGGCTGACGGCCTCGTACCAATGCGTTTTGCGATTTTTCCGATCTATGTCTCTACTGCCACCAAAAATTAATGCCAGGCCATACGAAGTGCTGCACCTGTCACGCAAAATCATCTTAGCAAACCTACATTTTTCTCCAACAACGCAACCACCTCAAAGCTAAGAAACTGGGCGAATACAGGGCAGGCGAATGCCATTTAATTTGAATGCAAGCATCAATCAATCAATCAATCAATCAAATGAACTCATGTAATGGTGGCACAAAATTGAGCGGATTTTTTTGCAGCTATTTGGAGGCACACCCCATCAAGAAAGCGAAGATATGATTCGGAAATTGGAAGGAACGAGAAATGTGCAGGGATGCTACGTGGCAAAAACCAAAACTCAGCAAATCTGTAGATCTCAGGTCATTGATGACAGCTGGTGGGTTTGGAACAGTCGCATGGCAGCTCGCTTGAACCTTTGGACTAGCACTTTCAAAGTCATGGATTGGTTTATGAAACCCGGAAAGTATCCAAACTGGAAAACAATATCTGCCACGATCTCAACCCACGACGTTCTATGGATCGATCTATGCGACCCAACGACACATGCAGATTGCGAGAAAAATTTGCAAATAGCGCCAGCTGCGCTGGAACTAAGCCGCGTGGGTCCGGCAGTCAAAATTGCAGAATCTGGACTTGTGACCAATGGCTGCCACATTTCTTGGGGATAAACGATGGTGATATACCTGTTATGGTTAGAAGATCCTCTAGTTCTGATAAAAGGGCTAATTGGTTCGCCTCGCTTAACGCAAAAGATGAACATGTTTTGCGGCATCACCGGCACGGATTACAAGTGGGCGACATGTCCCAGAATAAACAGAGCCCTTCGAAAAACGCCGAGTTTTGGAGGTGCAAGAGCAAACAAAGGTGAAGTCAACACCTTGTATGGTCACCGACAGAATTATGGAAAAAAAACGTTCAACTTAGACAGGCGGCGCCTGCGTCCGATTTTTCCATAATTGGATTTTTCCCCATAAGGGTTCAAAATATCCCGGAAGTGATCCGAACCTTTTTTTTTTCCATAATTCTTGGAGGTGGCCATTATTTCCATAATTGTTTTTTCCTGTAAAATCAGGGGGCTAGGGCAGATTGACCGGTTTTTCCATAATTATTTTTTCCATAATTATTTTTCCATAATTAATGTTTGGGGCTCCACCTGTTGGACATGTCATGGATCCACAATTCAAACCCCTTTTTTTGGGGGGTTATGGAAATATGTATGCAAATGCAAGTATGTAGTATCAACCCAATTGGTGGCTTGGCAAAAGGATACATCCCGCATATGTATGTACGTACAACAATGAGTTTTGGTGGTGCAATTGTATATCAATGGAAGACTTAGGGGCATATACCAGATCTTTAGACACATATTTTCTATAATTCAATATTCCCCCTTAAAATGCATTCAAATTGCGAACATCACATAATATTATGTATATCAATGGAAGACTTAGGGGCATATACCAGATCTTTAAACACATATTTTCTATAATTCAATATTCCCCCTTAAAATGCATTCAAATTGCGAATCGATGGACATACAGTCACCGACAGAATTATGGAAAAAAAATAATTATGGAAAAAATAATTATGGAAAAAAAAAGGTTCGTAACTTTTCTATCATAGACAGGCGGCGCCTGTAAATTGAAACGTTTTTTTTTTCCATAATTCTGTCGGTGACTGTATTGGGGAAAAAATCTTGCCCCGCAGGTATCTCGACTGGTAGGATTTTGAAGAACGAACTACGTGTGGCCAACGTATGTCAAGATTGGTGATACATCCAGTAGCAGACCCACAGATCTGATGCTCCAAAATGCAACCTCTCTCAGGAAATCAGCGCCCCGACCTCCTAACATCTCTGATGAACATGTCTCTTGCACTGCGCCTGCCACGCGAAATGCATCTTTGCAGATCCTCTGCAAATGTCCCACGCCTGCCATCGTTTTTGGAACTGCTACAAAACCCTCACGTTTTGCTCACTTTTGGCAAGGTGCAGAACCCCGTGCACCTGCCACGCAAAATCACATCTGAACCTTCAAAAGTGGTCCGAGCATGTGGTCTTTTTAACCTTTTGACCTGGAAATGTGCTTCGCGCCACAACGGCGTACACTTTTTCGACTGCGCAACTTCCAAAAGTGCTCCGACACTGAGGTGCTTTGAACATTTTGACTTCCACATGTGCTTGGCGCCACAACGACGTGCACTTTTTCGACAGCTCAACGTCCAAAAGTGGTCCGAGAATGGTGTGTTTTGCACAACGGCGTGCACTTTTTCGACATCTCAACTTCCAAAAGTGGTCCGACGCTGGTTTGTTTTGTACATTTTGACTTGGACATGTGCTTCGCGCCACAACAGCCTGCAACTTTTCATCTCTCATCTGATCACATGGCTCCGCACCCGCCGCTTTAGCGAGCCTACTTTTCGACTCTCCGGAGCCACAAATCATTGGAAAAACACAGTGTTTCGCGACTTTCCTACCTTTTCGCGCACCTGCTTCTTCTTTCTTCTCACTCTTACTCTTCTCTGATCTTCTCTTCTCTCTTCGGCTCTTCTCCTCTCTGACTCTTCCCACCTCTGCTTTTCCATCTGTCCATATTGTCGGAAGTTTGACTTCCAAACTTCCTTCGATATCCTTCGATAATGTTAATAATGTTGATGTTTTGTTCGGGATACATCCTTGCCATCATCCAGAGTTTTTTCTTGGCATCCCTAGCTCCGATGGTTGGTCTTGGTCAATTTCCCGTTGGTTAGTTGTCATCCAGTCGCTTTCGCGAATCTCACGGTAGTATGGTTATACCTGTGGTATCCTGTGGTGATTTTACCCCGTAACTTGGTATATGACCCCTATGAATATCTTTCAGCCCCCAAAATGAGTCCGAAAAGGTTCGAAAAGGATCGTTAGATGAGTGTTAGATGTTGGAAAAGGTTTGAATTTATCATATTTATATATATTTATCATCCATTCTTTGGATTGGATTTTCCTCCATTTGTTCTTTTGTTGGTCGCCTGCGATCCCCAACTCGACCCAGGACTCGAGTTGAATGGGTCCCCCCTGGGCCCCCCTGGCAATTGTGGGAAACTCCGGATATTCTTGCACTGCCCTGGATCCTGCCCAAAGTTCATGGGGACATGCAGATATAAAGGCTAGTACTGGTTTTCATGGCTGATAATGGTTTTTTTGATGCTTGGGGAAAGCATCAGCCTAAATTGAAGTGGATTTTTCAGCATGAGTGCCGAAAATTTTGACGATGCTGTCAGATAGGTGGGTGGAAAAGTGTCCCCTAACAGCTGTTTTTTGAAGCTCGTTGATTTGGTGCAGGGCAACTGGACAAAATATGTTGAATAGGACAAAGCCAAAGTGTGGCAATGAAAAAGTGGAAAATCACAACCCGCAAAAGGTTGGGTGAAACGCAACAACCAATGGATTTACAGTAGCGAACAGGTGGAGCAAAACAGAGATATCAAAGTCCAAAAAAAAGAAACACCGGAAACGACCTACCTAATCCATCTTTAGGTGGCAGGTCTTGTACTCTGATCCATCACTATCATGATTGCACGGTCAGCAAAAGGGGAAAAAACTAAGCGACCCATGTTGCGTCCTCCCTTCCTCCTGATATTAAACACCCCTCAGAGACCATCGTTTTCAGAGGTGGGCAGCAATAGGTGTGTTTAATCTGGGGGATGAATTTTTTTTCATGTCCAGCAAAAAAAATCAGCATCTGCCAAGTCTTGACATCTTCCATTCTTTTGGGACTTTTGCATCTTGGAGTTGGTTTTGTTGATGATTTAACCAGGGGGTAGAAATCCCATGTCCATCCAGGGATGGCCCCATTGGCCTTCCAGGCGCAGGATGAAATTGGCCTCGAAGAGGGTGATATTTAACTTGCCACCCGGCAGCAGATTCCACTTTCCGGAATTGATGTGGTCCTGGCTGAAAACAAAAAAAATGGGAGGCGATTTTGCTGCCTTTTCCCCGGAAGATGTTGGCAAAAATTGAACTCCAGCTGAATTTAAGTACGTCAAAAACTGATATACCGTATACCGTATACCTGTTTAAATATGTGTTCATTGTTCCCAAAATTCGAAGACCCCCAAAGGAAGCTCATGAATTCCTGGCCCAGCCATGGGAAAAAAATGCCAACTACCGATGGGACAAGATCAATCTCTATCCCAAGCGGAACATGCACGGGGATGGCATGGCTTGTGGAGAGACCACCAGTCACCGAATGGGCTGTCGGTGTGACAGACGTGCTGTCTGTTGGCCAGTGGATATGTTTTCTGCTCGAATCATCATGGCCGTGATCTTATGAACCAATGGACAAGCATACAAATTTGGTTGGTTACTATATATACTAATTAGTATATATATATAATATTATATATATATAATATATATATACATAATAATGCTATATAATGCTTTCACTCCATACTTCCTTAACATAACCGCAAGTGAACGGTAAATCGCTACCAGTCTACCCTTTGGCAATCTATATAATCTATAGCAGAAAACGTCACTCCTTCCAGCTCAACGTCACTCCTTCCAGCTCAACGTGCCATCTGGCTGCAGCACAAAGGTCCCTTTCACCTGAAACAAGTCGCCCAGCCACTCTAAGGGTGAAGTGAAAGGAGATGGTGCTGCACCCTGAAGAATCGCCATTTTTAGATTCAATAATCAATGGATTGGGAAAGCCCCGTATTTAATGGGAAAATCTATGGTTTCCTGTAGATTTTCCCGTAAACCCATCCATTGAAATAAGTTTGATTTCGCTATATATATATACTTATATATATATATAGCACCATATATATATAATTATATATATATATCCCCCAAAAAAAAAGTTGGATGGATTTGCCTGGAACAAGTCCCGAACGACTCAGTGATTCCTCCAAATACGAACGATCCCACCAGAGGTGGAATTGTTTGGATCTGATGATCTGAACATGTTGGGGTCCCACAAACTAGGAATATCTAATATTATATTGGCTATATATATATATACTGTAGTCCCATTTCAGGATGTTTAAACCATGTCAAATCGCCCATTGACTCACTATTTTCAACAATGCTTGATTGTTAAACGCCCAATCCCTATGGTTTCTCACCATGGGAAAATCCCCCCATCCGTTTTCATTCTTGAATCCCAAGTGCCCGATGGCCATCTGGAAGTATCCCCATTTTGCATCAAACCCATAGTAAGAGATCATGGATACTGTCATCTAATATCTAAAATCAGCTATCCTCCCTCTCCCATGCTGAAATCTCTACAATGATGATTCAAATGCTGGTTATTAACAGACCGAAACCGAAAACATATCCCGTGAATACTAGGTGACAGGAAAAAAATCATTGGCAAAAAAATGTGTGTTATTGTCAAACAATATTAAATCGCCATAGATGATTCTGAAATTCCTTTTCTGATATTGGGTCTGTACGTCCAATATCAACAGCAGTTTTCATAGGACATCATTAGATGGAATGGGGGGGTGTCCCTAAACTGCGAGAATGTACCGAACCTTGGATTTGGCTCAAACAAAAATGAGCCAATATTCCCTGTAGATTCACCCTATTTCTGCTGGATTTTCCAGGAAAATGCCAAAAATCACACAGTCCTGTGACTTTTTACCCAGGTTTTAGCCATGGGCATCGGCAGTGAAAAAATCAATATAGTCCTTTTAGGAAGAATTTAATCGGGGCCAGTTTGGTATATTGTTTATTGTCATCTACCTCTTGGTTTGTTTTCGGGGGGGTAAGCTCGAAAAAAAAAACAATGGGAAAAGGACATATATAGTTGAGGAATAACGGAAAACTCAGAATGGATTGTGATTGTTTTATCATGTTTGTTGGATATATGGACGAACATTTTGGAATCACACCTTACTGTGAAAAGAACATCTCCTATCATATCCAAATTATGTTTGGCTCGTAAGACCACCAAAAAACTCCTAAAACCACCCAAGAAAAAACCTAATGATTACCCTCTGGTAAACTCACATAGCTATTGAAAATGGCCATAGAAATAGTGGATTTACCCATGAGAAATGATGATTTTCCATAGTTACGTTAGTTTACCAGAGGGTAGTTGATATCCCAATAGGTTATCCCAAACCCATTGGAATCGGTGGAAAAAATCTTCCCATTCGACCTCGCCGCCATCGGGCGCCCAGGACCACATGGAGCCCGGGATGTGCGCCGTACCGAGGTCGCGTTTGCTGACCACCGCGCTGCCATCCGGAAAAATCCGCACCTGGCAGCGGAAGCCACGATGGAAAATCTACCGTCCATGGGAAATCTGGCGATTTCGGGAAAATCCATGGGAAAATCTTGGGGACGTGGAGGAAGAGTCGGATCTTTTTCCTTGCGGAAAAAACTGAAACCCAAAGGATTTGTGTTTGGACTTGAAGCAACGATTTAAGATAGATTTTAGTTACAGTAGAGGTGTGGGTCTTGTGAAACATTCCTCAACAACTCTAGGACTTGGGGGAACCATCTGGGATTTTGTGAAACAATTGGGGAGAGCCCCACTTAATTCAGTGCCAATATTTATCTGTCAACGGATTTCATAAGATCTTTGAATGCCATGCCTGAGAGGCAGCAAACAACAGGTATGTCAAAACATCACACACCAGCAACCCAGCTCCAAAACGCAAACATGCATTTCTGCCTATACTTGAAGTAAGAACCCCAATAGCTTCGCGTTTGGGGCCCCCCATTGGTGGTTCCATTAGCGCTTTCCATGGATCCGGACGTCCAACCCCCCGCACCTTCACCTGGCGGATTTTGCTTGGGAAGTTGCCAAATGGGTGTACCAAAGAACAATGATATTGAAGATTTTGAAGGGTTTTTATTACCAGAAAAAAATCGTATACTTAATGGTAGAGTCGGTCATCTACAAAATTTTGGACGATGGGTTAAAATGGGATGGTTTATATGGTTTGATAAGAAAAATAAGAAAAAAATATCTGGGTTGTCTTGTCAAGGCTGTAAATTCTAACCCATTTCCCCTCTGGAACTGTTGAGTAGGTTTAGACTGAAATCGAAAACCAAACGAACCTCTGCGAAATTGTCTATCCTTCGTCGAGAAACATGTTCAAAGTCATCCAGTAGTTCAATAGTCATTCGTATTTTCAATCATACATTGTCTGGCAATCCACTGTGAATTTTCAATAGGGGAATGGTTCCAGAATCTGGCTGGGAGAACATCGCAAGTCAACAGCGACTTGGTTCCCAAAGTTAATGGACCCACAAACAAACAATTTTCATGCGTAATGTAGGGAGAACCCACCAATAATAATTAATTCATTTCCGGGGTTTGGGTTTCAGTATTTCTCCAAATGGTAAAATTTGGTCATTGGAGATGCTTTACGTTTACCACCTGAGTTTTTTCCCAAACTTAAAAATCGAAATTCCACCGTTTTCATTTCTGGATCTTCATCCTTCAAATTTAAAACACAAATAACAATCGAACAGAGGACAAAGTCTTGTGAAAATTGCCCTCCCTGACCCCAAAACCCGGACCCTCCCTGAAATCTGTTGAAGATTTGCATGAAAAAAACCCTAGAAAAGTGAATGAAAATGGTGCCGTGCTTCTCCCATTTTTTCCATGGAGTCCCACCTGCGTAGAAGCCATGGCAGCTTGGGTTCCGGTGGGAAGCCAGTTGCTGGTCACAACCGAAGTGCGACTCTCCTTTGGAGCATTGGAAAATCATCCTGGGAATCATGGGATATGGGATGTTATACTATAATATATATATGCATGCCGCCTATATTGATCCCGTAAAGTATTATGACGGGAGATATATACATATATTATATGTATACTGTATAGTCAAAAGAAGTTTAGTGATGGTTGCATCCTTCGTCTCTGCGCCTGCTACCCGTGCAGTTTACCAGAACGTTTGTCATATCTTCTGCGCCTGCGGCCTGGCAATTGGCCAGGCTGATTTTCAAAACGTTGGTGTCTGCGCGTGCCGCCCGTGCAGTTCAGCAGATTGATTGTCCTATCCCTGGTCTCTGCGCCTGCCACCTGTGCAGTTTACCGGAGTTTTCGCCCACAGTGTCGTGATGGTTCAATATGACGCTGCAGGTTTCGTCGGTCATCTTGTGTTGAGTGGTTCTCACGCTGGCTTGTCCTGAGATTGTTCCCTTTGCCTTGCCATGTTGTTTGTCATACATTTGTTTTGGTGCGCGCTGCGTTTGATCGAACAGGTTTTGCGTCGAATTCAGCGTTGTCAGTTTTTTCGTTTGCCAACGTCTTTTGCGGATCTAATTTTTGCAATGACTGCTATTGGACATACATATGTTTCATGATAAATCTGTCTTTCTAAAGGGATGAAAAAAAACTTCCGAGTGAATGACGAGTGCCATGGTTAGCATTCCCACCATCATGTCGACCACATCATCATGTCAACCACATCGTCATTTCAACAGCCCATCATCAAGTTGTTGCGAAACCCTGTGTTTTTTCGTGTAATGTGGTTCCTGGGGGCACCAGAGTAGGGTCTGTGGGCAAATTGTGCACAAGACTGTAGCGAGACCTCGATTTGCACTTCAAAATGCTAAATAACTGACGACGTCGGAGCACTTTTGGAACATGAGGTCGGCCAAATGTGGACTAATTACACTGCAGCAAGAATTCGATTTGCGCTTCAAAACGTTAAAGAACTAACGACGCCGCAGTACTTTTGGAAGATGAGATCGGCAAAATGTGCACCAAACTGTAGCCAGAGCTCGATTTGCATTTCAATGAGTTTGTTTTGCACTCCAAAATCGCAAAAATTGTGGGGATCGGAGCACTTTTGGAAGATGAGATCGGCAAAATGTGCACCAGACTGTAGCGAGAGGTCGATTTGGATTTCAGAATCGTCGAACAAAAATGAGGGATCGGAGCACTTTTTGAGGATGAGGTTGGCAAATTCATTGATTCATTCCTTCCTTGATTCAATGATTCATTCCATTGACTCATTGATTCAACCATTCATTGATTCATTGACTCACTCAATCGTTGAACCATTGATTCGCTGATTCATTGATTTGCTGATTTGCCGCTTCATGATCCACTGATTCATCGATTCGCTGAATCATGATTGGTTGCTTCATTGAGTGAGCTGCACATGGATTCTTTCAGCTCATTGTCATCTCAGCAACCATTCGCCCTTTCGTTGGTGCACCTCTAACTTCAGCCATTCACTGCTTCTGCTTCGCAACTACTTTCCTATAGGCCATTGATTTCTCATAGCAGTTTCATTGTTTCAAAACTTCCGCCCCGGCGCGGGCCGGGCACTACTGGTATAATATGGTTGGAGAAGAATGGGATGCAATGGGACAATAGTGGGATCTGATGGGAGAATCATGGGCTACAATGAGATATATATATATATATAACGTACAACATGATGTTTGGGTGTGTCTGAAAATGTGCTATATCCTGTCTGATGGCTATTTCAAAAATGGAAACAAATTTTACAAAAAATCAGAACCGGAATACCCCAAATTCTCAGTGTACAAACGATCACAGAATGTGGAAAAACCCGAACCATGACCATGATGAAACAGGGAAACTTGCATGTGATTTAATTGCAACAGAATGGTGATTTCCCTGTGAAGACTTACCAAGAAACGGGGATGGATCAAAATTGGGTAGCCCCACTAAATAGGATGGTTATAACGATCCTCAAAATCAACCCGTCTTTCTGTGATCCGGTAGTGGCTTGAGCGTATCTGCAGGACTTCTGCCCCTTAAAGTGATGATGATACATGTTGGATTGGATTATTGCGGCGCTTTTGGAGATGGACTGCTTGAGTCGTTCAGGATCATCCGAACCCGACTAAGAGTGCCAACATGTGGTGACATGAATGGCGCGATTCCCAAATCCCACGAGACTGGCCGCAGGTCTGATCAGATGCTTTAGATTGCAGTCAAGATATCAACAGTAGATATCAAAAATGACGAATCATGGCAATAGGATTCATTTGGTTTCAGTGCAATAGATTTCTTGATGTTCGTGAAAGAAATCAAGTGTTTGTCCCAGATCTGCTTTGGATCTGTTGGCCCGAAATTTCATGGACCAACACCATATGGATATCATTTATACACAACATTATCCCTTAATATTCCTACAAAACACATACCTCTATGGATACTCTACATATTCATACATACATATATATATATATAAATATAAATATATATATATATGTGTGTGTGTGTTTTATGCCCCAAATACACAAGTATATGTGTATATATATATATATGCGTATATCGTATACATATCCCTTAATTTCGGCTACATTGGGAATGTCAACTCGCTGATCTCCCATTTTTGGACCTCCAAAATCTTCTCCAACGGATCTGGCAAAGGCTTGGAGCCATCACTGTAAACAGCAGCAATGGTCTGCCTCCATTGCGGGTAAGGCCAGGTGGAAATCACCAAAAACTTGATTTATAGTGGTTCATAGTTGCTATTAATGGATCATGAATGGCTAGCAATGGGATATTCAATGGGGATACCGAATGTCTCTAGGATGAACATACAAAAAGATGCGGAAAATCCACAGTGAAATCCTAGGAAAATGAACTAGAAATGGTGGGTTTCCCACAATCTATGTAGTTTACAGAAGGGTGGGTATATACATCATATTATTCTAGGAATATTCCATACATGGGTGATAATTATTGTTCAAAAACAAGATGGAGCCCACGAACCCGAATGCAGTCACGTAGAACACTTTTGTGAAACAAGTTATTTTGACAGTCTTGTACATGTTTCCCCTGTTACCGTACCAGTGCACTGTATGTAGACTGTGGAACGCGGAAGAGGGTGGAATGCAAAGTATGGAGTGTGGAGTGTAAAGTGTGGAGTGTGAAGTGTAAAGTGTGGTGTGTAGAGTGTGGAGTATAGAGTGTGGAGTGTAAAGTATAGAGTGTGAAGTGTGGAGTGTAAAGTGTGGGATGTAAAGTGTAGGGTGTAAAGTGTAAAGTGAAAAGTGTGGGGTGTAAAGTCTGAAGTGTGGATTAGCGGGTGTGGAGTGTGAAGTGTGGAGTGTGGAGTGTAGAGTGCGGAGTGTAAAGTGTAAAGTGCACAGTGTGGAGTGTGAAGTGTGGAGTGTAGAGTGTGGAGTGTAAAGTATAGTGCAAAGTGTAAAGTGTGGAGTGCAAAGTGTGGAGTGTAAAGTATAGAGTGCAAAGTGTAAAGTGTGGAGTGCAAAGTGTGGAGTGTAAAGTGTGGAGTGTAAAGTGTGGAGTGTAAAGTGTAAAGTGTGGAGTGTAACGTGTAGAGTGCGGAGTGTAAAGCGTAAAATGTGGAGTGTAAAGTGTAAAGTGGGGAGTGTCGTGTGTAGAGTGTGGAGTGTGGAGTGTAGTGTGGAGTGTAAAGTGTACTGTTTAAAGTGTGTACAGCGTGTAAAGTGTGCAAAGTAAAGTGTGTAATGTGTGTAAAGTGTAAAGTGTGGAGTGTAAAGTGTAAAGTGTGGAGTGTGAAGTGTAAAGTGGGGAGTGTGGAGTGTAGAGTGTGAAGTGTGAAGTGTAAAATGTGGAGTGTAAAGTGTGGAGTGTAGAGTGTAGAGTGTGGAGTATAAAGTGAGTGCAAAGTGTAAAGTGTAAACTGTGGAGTGTGGAGTGGAGAATGGGGAGTGTAAAGTGTAAAGCTCAAAGTGTGGAGTGTAAATTTTAAAGTTTAAAGTGTGGAGTGTAAAGTGTAGGGTGGAAAGTGTAAAGTGTAAAATGTAGAGTATGGAGTGTAAAGTGTCAAGTGTGGAGTGTGGAGTGTAAAGTGCGGAGTGTGGAGTGTAGAGTGTGAAGTGAAGAGTGTGGCGTGTAGAGCGTGGAGTGTAGAGTGTGGAGTTTAAAGTGTAGAGTGTAAAGTGTAGAATGTAAAGTGTGGAGTGTAAAGTGTAAAGTGTGGAGTGTGGAGTGTAGAGTCTGGAGGGTGGAGTGTAGAGTGTAGAGCACGCAATGCGACACGCCCGAAGTGCTGCGCCTGCCACGCAAAATGACAATGGATGTCTCCGAAGTGATGGGCTTGCCACACAAAAGGAATTTCGACACTTTTTGCAGACACGTGAGAATGTCACGAAGTGGCACGCTTGCCACGCCAAACCTCGTTACAACTTGCTTTGACACCTTGAAACAGGATAGGTTTTGCAGTTTCCCCCATACACACGGCAAGACCACAGGAAAACCAAAGACTCGAGACGAGACATGCTGGAGCAACAAAAACGAGCATTTCGTGCGAAGCATTCTCCCATTTTCGCACTTTGTAGTTTCAAAATCAACATGTTCCAACGAGTTTTCTTAGAACATGAAAATTTGCAACCTCAAAATCGATGTTTCGTGCGACGCTTCCGTCAATTTTCAACACATCTCACAAAATGCCACGCCTGCCACGAAATTTGCACCTTGTCACCAATGGCGCAGCCCTGACAATGCGATTCGCACAAAACGAGCCACAAGACACGTCTAAAGTGCTGCGCCTGCCACGCAAAATGAAGATGGACACGTCCCAAGTGTTGCGCCTGCCACGAAAAAAGCAACGCATCTTCTGAAAACGACGCAAAAGTATTGCGCCTGCCACACAAAACCACTTTCGACAAGTTACAAAACACGTCTGAATATCACGAAGTGCCACGCCTGCCACGCAAAACGAAGCACCGCGACGCTGGAAACCTCCAAAAGTGACCCCTGTTGCAGAACTTACCATAGGCCTTGCCATACGGCCCTGACACGGACACTTGCAGACGGTTGCGGACGGTTGCGAATGGTTGCACACGCAACGTCAAGCGAACACACCCTCCACCCCCAGACCCCCAGAGTGAAACGGGAACCCTTGCTACGCATTCGGGAACAAACACATTTGTCACATGCCTGAAAACAGGCACATCTCTACATACATTTGCCTCCAACAATATGACTCGAGCGCGTGCGAGTTCTGCGTATGCTCTGTTTTTTCAAATAGCCGGCCCCAATGTGGTGACCAAAAAAACACGGTAAAACACCACCAGCAACGGCTCTACACACGACATGCTTGAAACACTGTGTGCGAAGTCTGTATGAGCTGAGCCCAGCCAACATCTTTCCAACTTTGGTGAAAATAGACAACAGTAACACAACAGCAACCTTTGAACATCGCTGTCTTGCATTATCTCTACACACCTCGTGCCTGAATCAGCACCACCCGAGTGCATACGAAATCTGCACGTGTTTCGGTCATGAACTGAATGCTGAGCGACCTCTTGAAGCTGAGCACAGCCGAAATCTTTCCGACACCTTTTAAATATGAAAACCAGCAACAGAACAGCAACCCTCAAACATCAGTGAACAGCAACATCTGTACACAACCTCCTGCTTGCAACAATATAACGCCATGCTTGCACAGCACTGCAACAAAGTCAAGCCTCAACGACCCAAAGTGCACATGTGAGACGCAAATTGTAAAATGTGTAATGTGGAGTGCCAAATGTAAAGCGTGAACTGTAAAGTGTCGCCTGTGGAGTGTAAAGTGTGGAGTGTAAAGTGTGGAGTGTGGAGTGTAAGAGTGTGGAGTGCAGAGTGTGGAGCGTGGAGTGTAAAGTGTAGAGCGTAGAGTGTGGAGTGTAAAGTGTGGAATGTAAAGTGTAAAGTGTGGAGTGTAACGTGTAAAGTGTAGAGTGTAAAGTGTGGAGTGTAAAGTGTAGAGTGTGGAGTTTAAGGTATAGAGTGTAAAGTGTGGAGTGTGGAGTGTACAGTTGAAGTGTAGTGTAGTGCTGCACCTGCCAGAAAAATTGGAATTCAGCTTCTGAAAAGGACGCAAAAGAATGCGCCTGCCACACAAAAGGAATTTCGACACTTTTTGCAGACACGTGAGAATGTCACGAAGCGGCACGCTTGCCACGCAAAACCACGTTACAACTTGCTTTGACACCTTGAAACAGGATAGGTTTTGCAGTTTCCCCCATACACACGGCAAGACCACAGGAAAACCAAAGACTCGAGACGAGACATGCTGGAGCAACAAAAACGAGCATTTCGTGCGAAGCATTCTCCCATTTTCGCACTTTGTAGTTTCAAAATCAACATGTTCCAACGAGTTTTCTTAGAACATGAAAATTTGCTACCTCAAAATCGATGTTTCGTGCGACGCTTCCGTCAATTTTCAACACATCTCACAAAATGCCACGCCTGCCACGAAATTTGCACCTTGTCACCAATGGCGCAGCCCTGACAATGCGATTCGCACAAAACGAGCCACAAGACACGTCTAAAGTGCTGCGCCTGCCACGCAAAATGAAGATGGACACGTCCCAAGTGTTGCGCCTGCCACGAAAAAAGCAACGCATCTTCTGAAAACGTCGTAAAAAGATTGCGCGTGCCACACAAAACAATGCTCCACACGTTACAAAACACGTCTGAATGTCACCAAGTGCCACGCCTGCGACGCGAAACGAAGCACCGCGACGCTGGAAACCTCCAAAAGTGACCCCTGATGCAGAACTTACCATAGGCACGGCCATACGGCCTCGCGCGGACGGTTGCGAACGGTTGCGGACGGTTGCGGACGGTTGCGGACGGTTGCGGACGGTTGCGGACGGTTGCGAACGGTCGAGGTCGTAAACGCAACGTCGAGGGAACACACCTTCAACCCCCAGACCCCCAGAATGAAACGGGAACCCTTGCTACGCATTCGGGAACAAGGATATAGCAACCCCAAAGTATATGCCGAAAAGCTAATAATTATTAAAAACCTGGAAATATATACCAGGTAGTGCCCGGCACGCGCCGGGGCGGAAGGTTTAATTATCCGGGCAAGAGACCCCAAATAGTGTGTAGTTCGGCTAACTGTACAAGACCTCTGTAAGAAGTCTCCTGGCAAGATCTCTGTACAAGATCCCTGTAAGCCTCTTATCCAGATCTTGTACAGAGACCTGGTGAAAAGAACAGAGATCTTGCTCAGAGATCTTTCCTAACCAACTTGAACAGAGATCTTAGTTTGAGACCTCTTGCAGGGATCTTCTGCGGAGATATCTCTTGGACACCTTGTGCAGATAGCCTTACAAAGCGTTCTTGCAACTTGCACAGCAGCTTCTACAGAGAACCTGTCTTCTACGGAGTTCTTGCCCACGGGCTTCTACAGAGATCTTCACAAACAGACCTTGGAACCAAACCTGCAGTGTCTCTTCTTCCAGAGACCAGCTTGAGAATGAACACCATGCTTTCACTCCTAGGGTCGCTTTTGTCCGGCTAGCTTAGAGCCACTGATGAAGTCTCTTGGCAAGATCTCTGCACAAGCTCTCTATGAGACGTCTCTTGGCAAGATGTCTCTATACAAGATTTCTCGTTTTGTGCGAGCCTGCGCAGTCGAAATGCACATGGACATGTCATCAAAGCCATTTGGCTCAAGAATTTACAGGAAATGCCGCGCCCCAGAAGTTTGTCGCACATTTTGTGCGAGCCTGCGCATTCGAAATGCACATGGACATGTCACAAGAGCGATTTTACGCAAAAAATTACAGGAAAAATGCCGCGCAGAACCGCGACACGCGTTTATGCGAGCCTGCGCAGTCGAAATGCTCATGGACATGTCACAAGAGCCAAATTTTATGTAGAAATTTACAGGGGAAGTGCCGGACGCTAATACCGGGGCACGGGGCACCCGTTTTGTGCGAGCCTGCGCAGTCGAAATGCACATGGACGTGTCACAAGAGCCATTTGGTGCAGAAATTGATAAGGAAAATGCCGAAAGCCCCGGAAACCACTTCGAATGAACACTGGGCCCGAACCCTCACCGTAAGAACCCCAAGTGTGGCCACATTGTTTGGGGAAAAATAGGACATGGCTATAGGAACCAGTTTGCTTATAGGGATTGTTGGTGAACAGGAAAGACGTGAATTGAAATGAATGCATTGAAGAAAGTGGGTGAGAATGATCGAACTGAGTTGAATTGAATTTAATTGAATTGACATGAACTGCGTTGAATTGAATTTGAATCGCATGAGTGAGTGAATGAATGATGACACGAATTGAAATGAAAATGAAGATGAAAATAAAAATGAAATGAAAACGAAATGAAAATGAAAATGAAAATGGAAATCAAATCAAATCAAACTCAGACGCATGAAAAAATGAAGCGAAATGAAATGAAACGAAATGAAATGACATGAAAATGAACGAATACATGAAAGGAATGAAAGGAACGAATGAATGAATGGAAAGGTATGAATACATGAATACATGAATACATGAATATATGAATGAATGAATGAATGAATGAATGAATGAATGAATGAATGAATGAATGAATGAATGAATGAATGAATAAATGAATGAATGAATGAATGACTGACTGACTGAATGAATGAATGAATGACTGACTGACTGAATGAATGAATGAATGAACGAATGAACCAATGAATCAATGAATCAATGAAATTGTCCGACCTCATCTTATTCCAAAAGTGCTCCGAACGGCTCAGATTTTTTTCGATTTTTATGTGAAATCAAGCTCCGGCTACTGTCTCGTGCAGATTTTGCCAACCTCATCTTCCAAAAGTGCTCCAAACATGTCATGTTTTACGAATTTTGTGTGAAATCGAGCTTTGGCTACAGTCCTGTGCGCGTTTGCACGTTCTGTCGACAACTTGCGCAGATCGAGGTCCGAAACCGGGAAACAGAGACCCTACTTCGGCGACCGCGCAAGCCACTTTTCCCGAAAAAAACACAGGGTTTCGCGCACGAGAGTCTTGTCAAGCCTGATCAAGCGCTCCCGACCTGTTACACTTCTCAACTACTTGATGTTGATGTGGTTGACATGATGATGTGGTTGACATGATGGTGAGAATGCTGCCCATGACAAGCATCCGTGACTCGGAAGTTTTCTAACTAAACGTCCTTTGATATTGTAAACATCATCCAACCGTTCTCATCCTGGAAAGACTTGTAGGCATTTTCAAGGTTGCTATATTCCACAAGTGGGTCACTTCATATGCTTACTACCTGCTTACTAAGTGGCTAAGTTGGTTTATAATATCAGTAGCTTAAGTGGGGCTTATCTCATGGATATATCTACAGTTCGATGGATGAAAATAGCCCAACCGGGAGGAAAATGCTGTTGGTTTGTCTGAAAATATGGTACCCCTGCATCCATGCATGAATCATATTGTCCTTCTGAAAATCGCCATGATGTCCTGTAAGTTGTCCCTTCAATCAACTCCGTGGGGCAATCAGGCAGGCCTGCAACAGTCATGGGAATGACTAGTAAGGGATATGGCGATGGGTCAAACACCTGGTACACGGATGGTACCCAAAGTCACAGCTGGCTCGTGGATGTTTATTCCCCCATTCAGTAGTAGTAGTAGTAGTAGTGGTGGTAGTAGTAGCAGTAGGAGTAGGAGTAGTAGTAGCAGTAGGAGTAGGAGCAGTAGTAGTAGTAGTAGGAGTAGTAGTAGTAGTAGCAGTAGTAGGAGTAGCAGTAGTAGTAGTAGTAGGAGTAGTAGTAGTAGTAGGAGTAGGAGTAGTAGGAGGAGTAGGAGTAGGAGTAGGAGTAGGAGTAGTAGTAGTAGTAGTAGTAGCAGTAGTAGTAGTAGGAGTAGTAGTAGTAGTAGCAGCAGTAGTCGTAGTAGGAGTACGAGTAGTAGTAGAAGTAGTAGTAGTAGGAGCAGTAGTAGTAGTAGTAGTACTAGTAGTAGTAGGAGTAGTAGTAGTAGGAGTAGTAGTAGTAGTAGGAGTAGGAGTAAGAGTAAGAGTAGGGGTAGGGGTAGGAATAGTAGGAGTAGTAGTAGTAGTATACTCCTACTCCTACTCCTACTCCTATTCCTACTCCTACTCCTACTCCTACTCCTCCTACTCCTACTCCTACTCCTACTCCTACTCCTACTACTCCTACTACTACTACTACTACTCCTACTACTACTACTACTACCACTACTACTACTACTACTACTACTGCTACCACTACTACTGCTACTACTACTACTACTCCTACTACTACTAGTACTACTACTACTACTGCTCCTACTCCTACTGCTACTACTACTACTACTACTCCTACTACTACTGCTACTACTACTACTACTCCTACTCCTACTCCTACTACTACTACTTCTACTACTACTCGTACTCCTACTACGACTACTGCTGCTACTACTACTACTCCTACTACTACTACTACTACTGCTACTACTACTACTCCTACTCCTACTCCTACTCGTACTACTACTACTACTCTACTAGTAGTAGTAGTAGTACTACTACTACTACTCCTCCTACTCCTACTCCTACTCCTACTTCTACTCCTACTCCTACTCCTACTCCTACTCCTCCTACCCCTACTCCTACTCCCACTCCTACTGCTACTGCTACTACTACTACTCCTACTCCTCTCCTACTCCTACTCCTACTACTACTACTACTCCTACTACTACTACTCCTACTACTCCTACTCCTACTGCTACTACTACTACTACTCCTACTACGGAGTAGGAGTAGTAGTAGTAGTAGTAGGAGTAGGAGTAGGAGTAGTAGTAGGAGTAGGAGTAGGAGTAGGAGTTGGAGTAGGAGTAGGAGTAGTAGTAGTAGTAGGAGTAGTAGGAGGAGGAGTAGGAGTAGGAGTAGTAGTAGTAGTAGGAGTAGTAGCAGGAGTACGAGTAGGAGTAGTAGTAGTAGTAGGAGTAGGAGTAGGAGTAGAGGTAGGAATAGTAGGAGTAGTAGTAGTAGTGGCAGTAGTAGTAGTAGTAGTAGTAGTTGGAGTAGTAGGAGTAGTAGTAGGAGTAGTAGTAGTAGTAGTAGGAGTAGTAGTAGGTTTTGACCCATCCCCATATGATATGACTTGATATGACCAGCAATTCAACAGAACCTTTTCCCACAAGAAAGCATCACTGGAGAAATGCCACCACGACCCTCAGCAATCCTTTGACTTCATAGCAACCCCCAGATAGAAAAGTAAGATCCTACTAAAATGAAGGTAGTGTACTTTCCTATCTCTTGGCAGTTACTACGATTACTATATATTACTATAATCCAATTTTTTCCCAAACCCCAGGAATGTTGGGCATTGCACACTTATGGCGCCACTTGCCGGGGTTGGAACCCTTGGCGAAGGTGGATGGTGGGGATCGACTGATCCGAGCATTCAATGAAGAAATTGCAGGAACTCCCCATTTTGGCGTAAAACGCTGGTTTCCTGCAAATGTTCCCAAACAAACAAATTGAAACGCGTCCAAACAAAAAGTATTGTAGTAATTACCCCAAAAAATAAGCCTGTGTTACAGAAAACTTCCCTATTTGGGTCGTCTAAAAAACCCTGGTTGAGCCGTTGTTTCTTCCGGAGCGATCAACTTTGCATCTCGATTGAGACGCCGGTCTGGTCACTAGGAAGCCCGGCAGCCCGCCGCCAAAGAAGCTGAAACGCCTCTGACATGAAGAGTTGCTCCCGGAAAACATATGCCATGGCAGCCAGAAATATCAAGAGCAACAGAATAAGCGTCAACCAAAGCCACCAGCTTGATGAATTTTCATCTCGATTTGTAGGAAGGGTCACATTGAAGTAGCTAGGCTTTTCACGAAGCCAGGCTCCCAGGGGTCCCACTCTCAATCTGACCACCACATCTTTGGTATCACTCCGAAGCAAGTCGGGATTCACTCGCAACTTGAAGTCCACCGAAAAGCTGTAGTCGTTTTCTGCACCATCGCCATAAAAGTTGTCATCTAGCTCCACCAACTCCTTCTGGGTATCCTGGGAAGCTTGCGACCGAAAATCACCACTCTAAAAACAGGTAATTCATGGTAATTCAACGAAGTAAATGGGCAAAGGTCCCTTGCAACCTTTTAGATTACTGGAGGCTCCATAAACCATCCCAGAAATGACCCACATTTCGCAGCTCCAATGTGATTTCAACAATCGCTATGGCCTGAGGCTTCTTCCAAGAGTTGTAACTGGTGGCTTCCATCACCGTCAAATGCAAGAGATCTTTGTCCAGTCTGTAGAGCTCCCCTCGAAGTTCAGACGAAAATTCCACCTCGGGCAGGATCTGTGGCTGCAACACTGGACTGGCATAGCTGACCCAATAGGTCAGTCCCTTCGACTTGGACACCTTCATTTTCCACTTATACGCCTCGGCCAAGGATTCGATGCAAGGCTTCCTGTCCCCTGGGAGGTAGAACAGTTTAACAATGAGCGGCGTGAAGATCATCTGGCGCCCGTCCCCTCCGTCCAAAACCATACCGAAGCTCGGGGTGAAATAGTCCTCCCCCAGCGCGTTTTCGCGAGAGCTGGAGTGCAGTCGTTCCGGTCGTTCCGGTCCCAGGCCGTGGTAAATTTTTAAGCGCTTCCGGAACACGCACTGAAAGTCCAAGACGTCCCCCTTCTCCACAGTCACGATGCGATCAGAAATCAAGGGAAGCCATTGAGAGGTGGGATTCCTCACCGAGCTGTTGCCATACTTCCGGTAGGTCAGGTGAGCACAGACCAGGCTGGAATCAAACAGCGTTATGTTTTGGAAGTCTCCCTTGGCACCTCGACAGTCCACACGAAAGCTGAAGAGTTGCGGAACTTGCGGAAGGTCCGCGGTATCTGTCAACTCTCGCGTGCATTCATAGCAGACTTTGATTGACGTAGAGCTGCAACCAGTAGTACGAACAGGCAGCTCGAAAGGTGTCATCGATTTCAGATGAACAAAGTGGGCCAAGCCGTAGGAGACATGCACTGCCAGGATGACGTGTACAGATCTCATGGCTGAATCGATTTGAAGCAGACGTCTTTTCACTAAGGTATTCTTGAGTCAAGTGAACAACCATCATGATGTGTTAGTCAAACAGGGCTTGGTAAATGTCCTAATTGAACATCACCCAACTACAGGGATAGAATTTCCAACAGATACTTGAGAGCAGGCGGAGGCGGACGAAAGGTAGTGTAGTGGGAGAGGAGTGGTGTCAAAATGCTGCGCCCCTAAGATGATACACCAAAAACTTTTTTGCAGTCTAAGATGATTTTATCCAGAGCATGACTGCATGATACGGTATCTTGTGCAGCGTGAAATGATGCACGAAAAGGGGTTTATTTAAAACCCCCTTTTTAAGACCCCTTGCAGCAACTGTTATTGAGGCTGAAGCAAACCAATTATGCTGGACTACAGGGACATCTCCCTCATGGAGAGTGTGCCTCTACTGTGGCGGACCGTGACCGCGTCACCCGTGGGAATTGAACCCATGACCATTTTAGAGGGGGGGGGCCCCCCCCCTCCTTATAATTGATATCTAATACATAACGTGGAGAATTCCACGTTTTGCACGGGCTGGCCCCCCAATACCCCCTATGATTGTGCTGAAGCACGGAGAACTCAGGTAGCTGACGCTACCTTTCGTGACTTGTTCAAGTGATGTTCAAAATCCCCAAAACAGGACGTTTACCAACCCCTGTCATGGGCAGCCCCATCTCATTTGTTTTGCACCAGGGCCCCCCCACTAAGCAAACTTCGGTATGGATTCTTGTTGGGTTCAAACGGTTGAAACTTAAAACCTTGGTTTTTCTCCCCACGCCAGTGTGAGTCACCAGGAAAATCATAGCTGCCCAAAGTTTCGCTGAAAATTGACATCATGAGGGCATGAAAATCTTCCCAAGCTTAGTGTTATCTGTCTTTCATATAGCTTTGTTACTTATCATCGACCCATCAACCCACTAGTAATCATGAAATTAAAACCATGATTGGCCATCATGAGCCACCTTTCTTCCTAATTATCATCAATCATCAACTAAAGTTCCTCTTTCAGCGCCTCAGCTTTCGCGCAGCATCAAAGGGCAAGAACAGCAACGCCAACCCCCTGAAGTTGGGCCTGATCCGAAACATGTTCAAAGCGATGAGCCGATCCCAGAACGGTCCCCCGGTCCCAGGGTCCCCACTTGTTGGCCAGCATGGAATAGCCTTGCTCTTTCAGCCCAGCTTTCCTGGGCGAAAGTGCAGGATGCGCAGGACATGGCATCTGAATACTGAGGTTTTGTAAAAATTGCCCACTTCCATGAACTATCTGGCAAGTGACACAGTGACATACCAAAAAGTTTTAAAAAAAACAAGATGAAACCCACGAACCCGAATGCTCACACGTATGTTAATGGTACAGATGTCAAAACACATGGTTTTGCAGTCACGCACAATACCTTTCTGCAATAGTTTATTTGAACAGTCTTGTACGTGCTTCCCTTGTTACCAGTCTGCAGTGTGGAGTCGAAAGTGTAGAGTGTGGAGTGTGGAGTGTGAAGTAAGGAGTGTGGAGTGTAAAGTGTGGAGTGGGGAGTGTAGAGTGTGTAAAGTGTAGAATGCGGAGTGTAAAGCGTAGAGTGTGGAGTAAGGAGTGTAAAGTGTAGAGTGTGGAGTGTAGAGTGTGGAGTGTGGAGTGTAGAGTGTAGAGTGAGGAGTGTAAAGTGCAAAGTGTGGAGTGTGGAGTGTAAAGTGAGGAGTGTAAAGTGTGGAGTGAGGAGTGTGGAGTGTAAAGTCAGGAGTCAGGAGTGTAAAGTGTGGAGTGAGGAGTGTGGAGTTTGTAAATTGTAGAGTGTGAAGTGTAGAGTGTAAAGTGTAGAGTGTAAAGTGTAGAGTGTGGAGTGTAGAGTGTAGCGTGTGGAGTGTGAAGTGGAAAGTGTAGAGTGTGGTGTGTAGAGTGTGGAGTGTGGAGTGTAAAGTCTGGAGTGTAGAGTGTGGAGTGTGGAGTGTAAAGTGTAGAGTGTGGAGTGTGGAGTGTAAAGTGTGGAGTGAGGAGTGTAAAGTGGAAAGCGTGGAGTGTAAAGTGGAAAGCGTGGAGTGTAAAGTGTAAAGTGTGGAGTGTAGAGTGTATAGTGTAGAGTGTAAAGTGTAGAGTGTGGAGTGTGGAGTGTAAAGTGTGGAGGGTAGAGTGTGGAGTGTAAAGTGTGGTGGAAAGTGTGGAGTGAGGAGTGTAAAGTGTGGAGTGTGGAGTTTAAAGTGTGGAGTGTTGAGTGGAAAGTGTGGAGTGTAAAGTGTGAATTGTAAAGTGAGGAGTGTGGAGTGAGGAGTGTAAAGTGTGGAGTGTGGAGTGAGGAGTGTAAAGTGCGCAGTGTGGAGTGTAAAGTGTGGAGTGTCGAGTTAGGAGTGTAAAGTGTGGAGTGTGGAGTGGAAAGTGTGGAGTGTGAAGTGTGGGGTGTGGAGTGTTGAGCGTAAAGTGTAGAGTGCAGATTCTGGAGTGGAAAGTGTAGAGTGTGGTGTGTAGAGTGTGGAGTGTGGTGTGTAAAGTGAGGAGTGTAAAGTGTGGAGTGTGGAGTGAGAAGTGCAAAGTATAAAGTGCGGAGTGTGGAGTCTAAAGTGTAGAGTGTGGAGTGTGGAGTGTAAAGTGTGGAGTGTAAAGTGTCGAGTGAGGAGTGTAGAGTGGAAAGCGTGGAGTGTAAAGTGTAAAGTGTGGAGTGTAGAGTGTTTAGTGTAGAGTGTAAAGTGTAGAGTGTGGAGTGTGGAGTGTAAAGTGTGGAGGGTAGAGTGTGGAGTGTAAAGTGTGGTGTAAAGTGTGGAGTGAGGAGTGTAAAGTGTGGAGTGTGGAGTTTAAAGTGTGGAGTGTGTTGTGGAAAGTGTGGAGTGTGAAGTGTGAATTGTAAAGTGAGGAGTGAGGAGTGTAAAGTGTGGAGTGTGGAGTAAGGAGTGTAAAGTGTGCAGTGTGGAGTGTAAAGTGTGGAGTGTCGAGTGAGGAGTGTAAAGTGTGGAGTGTGGAGTGTAAAGTGTGGAGTGTGAAGTGTGGGGTGTGGAGTGTCGAGCGTAAAGTGTAGAGTGTGGAGTCTGGAGTGGAAAGTGTAGAGTGTGGTGTGTAGAGTGTGGAGTGTGGTGTGTAAAGTGAGGAGTGTAAAGTGTGGAGTGTGGAGTGAGGAGTGTAAAGTATAAAGTGTGGAGTGGGGAGTAAAGTGTGGAGTGTGGAGTGCGGAGTGTGGAGTGGAAAGTGTAGAGTGTGGAGTGTGGAGTGTAAAGTGGGGAGTGTGGAGTGTAGAGTGTGGAGTGAGGAGTGTAAAGTGTGGAGTGTGGAGTGTAAAGTGCAGTGTGGAGTGTGAAATGTGGAGTGGAAAGTGTAGAGTGTGGTGTGTAGAGTGTGGAGTGTGGAGTGGAAAGTGTAGAGTGTGGAGTGTAGAGTGTAAAGTGTAGAGTGTAGAGTGTGTAAAGTGTAGAATGCGGAGTGTAAAGTGTAGAGTGTGGAGTAAGGAGTGTAAAGTGTAGAGTGTGGAGTGTAGAGTGTGGAGTGTAGAGTGTAGAGTGAGGAGTGTAAAGTGCAAAGTGTGGAGTGTGGAGTGTAAAGTGAGGAGTGTAAAGTGTGGAGTGAGGAGTGTGGAGTGAGGAGTGTAAAGTATAAAGTGTGGAGTGTACAGTAAAGTGTGGAGTGTGGAGTGCGGAGTGTGGAGTGGAAAGTGTAGAGTGTGGAGTGTGGAGTGTAAAGTGGGGAGTGTGGAGTGTAGAGTGTGGAGTGAGGAGTGTAAAGTGTAAAGTGTGGAGTCTAAAGTGTAAATTGTGGAGTGAGGAGTGTAAAGTGCAAAGTGTAAAGTGTGGAGCTTCCCCATAGACACGGCGACCCCACAGGAAAACCAGAGACTCGAAACGAGACACGTGGGTGCAAAAAAAAACAGCATTTCGTGCAAGACTTCCGCCAATTTTGATATTTTCCACATGTTATCAAACAGGTTGGAATGTCACAAAGTGCCATGCCTGCCACGCAAAACGACATGACAACCTGCTTGGAAACATTCGAAAAGGACACGTTTTCCAGCTTCCCCCATAGACACGGCGACGCCACAGGAAAACGAGACACTTGCGACAAGACACGTGGGTGCAGAAAAACCAGCATTTCCTACGAGACTTCCTCCAATTTTGAAATTTTGTGAACATCATCAAACAGGTTGGAATGTCAGAAAGTGCCACGTCTGCCACGCAAAACAACAACACAGCCTGCCTGGAAACATTCGAAAAGGACAGGTTTTCCAGCTTCCTCCATAGACACGGCGACGCCACAGGAAAACCAGCGACTCGAGACAAGACACGTGGATGCAGAAAAACCAGCATTTCGTACGAGACGTCCTCCAATTTTCACAGTTGGCAACATGACAAAAGGACAAGTTTTGCAGCTTCCCCCATAGACACAGCGAGGCCACGGGAAAACCAGACACGCGAGAAGAGACAGGTGGGAGCGCCAAAACGAGCATTTCGTGCGAGACTTCCTCCGATTTTCACACTTTGTAGCTTCAAAATCGACGTTTTCCTACGAGTTTTCCTTAGAACGTGAAAATTTGCAACCTCAAAATCGATGTTTCGTGCGAGGCTTCCGTCAATTTTCAGCACATGTCAGAAAATGCCACGCCTGCCACGGAATTTGCACCTTGTCACCACTTGACGCAGCCCTGCCAATGCGATTTACAAAAAACACGCAACGCGACACGTCTAAAGTGCTGCGCCTGCCACGAAAAATGACGATGGACACGCCCAAAGTGCTGTGCCTGCCACGAAAACTGCAACACATCTTCTGAAAACGTCGCAAAAGTATTGCGCCTACCACGCAAAACGACTTTCGACACGTTGCAGAACACGTCTGAATGTCACGAAGTGCCACGCCTGCCACGCGAAACGAAGCAACGACACGTCTGAAACCTCCAAAAATGACCACCTCTGCAGAACTTCCCATAGGCACGGCCATACGGGGATCGCGCGAACGGTTGCGAACGGTTGCGAACGGTTGCGAACGGTTGCGCTCGCGAACGCAACGTCGAGCGAACACACCCTCAACCCCCAGACCCCCAGAGTGAAACGGGAACCCTTGCTACGCATTCGGGAAAACATGTTCAATGGGCATGGGAAATCCCCAAACTAAATGGACTTAGATGGAGGTTTATAGCTGTGAAAATGATCTATAAATGGGTCGTTTCCTCTGGCCATGTAACAAATTTCCAGAAGGTACCAGCAGTGGTTTGTTTGAAAAAGAATTAAAGATTCCGCCATGACCCGGGCTGGAGCATTCTGCCACATCCCCGCAACGCGGAATGTCCATTCTTCCATTCCAAGTTGCCAATCTTGACCCTTGTCTCGCAACGCTTGCTCGACAATTGCCTGCTAAGGTGCTGATTCAGCCCGTTGCTGACTTTCTGCGAGGTACATATTTTTTTCCTTTGGGTCTCCCCCCATGCTGATTACCTTGAGGCTTGTGAAACCAAGCAAACGCCTTCTTACTCAGTATAATCTCATCCCACCAACATTAAACCAATTAATCCCAAATATGTGTACATCCTCTACTATATAAACCATGGTGTCTGAGGGGTGTTTAATATATTTCAATATTAGGCGGAATGGATTACTCTGCATACTCAAATTTGCGATAACAATGGTGGATACTGTTGCAGGGTGGAGAGGTCTACAAAGCATCAATTCTTATATACCCTCTAGTCAATCTCCTTAGATATGCAAGACTCGAGGACCATGAATGTAGATCATTGTCCAAAGGAGAACACTGAAATGGATTTCTATATGGTTTTCTTGACTTGTTTACCCAAGTTTTGTTGCTGTTGCTCCAAGCCCAACACATACCTGGAACCACTCGCGCCTTCTCGTTGTAGTCACGAAGACAATCATCCAGGCTCAGCCAAAAGGCCAACATCCCGTCCTGGGTCGTTTCAAACGGTCCCGGTACCCGTTTGTCATAACTGGCTGAAGGAGCGTTATTCCATGAAATATGGCAATTTCATAGGTAACTTGACCCATCTCCACAAGACCCTTCTGTTGATAAGATTCGGATGGTTGATGTCTGTGTCTTCCATCTTTTCTTCTCTGCTGCGCCGGGTGGGGGAGCACGCAACTTCCAGCAATTGGTTTTACAAAGAGCCTTCCATCTGCGCAAAGATGGATATATTTCATCACCCTGCAAAGGTTGGCCATGTTTAGAATGATCCCTCAAATGTGAACGTTTATAAACCATTAAAATTCCAGGCAATGCCAGCGAGGGTTGCCATCTTTCACCCGGTTCTGTCTATATCTCACGAAGTCTCCCATACAATATTCCATCATATATAGAGTATTCCCATCAAATATCTCCACAGAATCTCTCCATTTTTCAGGAAATTCGGATCCCGAAGCAAGCCGCCTGTTGAGTGCCACTCGGCAAGGTGCCAGAGATTGTGAAAACGACTTCGAAGTCCCCAGACTCGATGGCCTGGGAAGGGGGACTTGATCCGAAAAAAACGCTATTGCAGCAGCGTCAGAAACCTAGACCCACCCAAAGAATCGCTGATTTTCACTTTTTTTTTTGTGGATCGCCAATCACTGGGATCGCTGCCTTCCTGTTCCACAGATAGGCCAATCGATCTGCCACTGCCGGCATCAAAAGGATCCGATCCTGTGCCGATTTCGACGCAAGACCCGCAGCCACCTGGAGTTTTTGGAAAAATGGTGATTCCCATCTTTGGAAAATTGTGAAAAACATGATAAAATCGTCATTTTCTACAAAATAGATAACCATAACTGGCTACTATTCATCATTTATGTTTCCATGATACAATGGCTATGTGAACCCAAAAAAAATCGGCCAGACAACCCGCTTTTTCTCGGCGCACGCCTGCATCGCCATAGACGCGGCGCTCACCACCCTGGAACGTTCCAGATGTTCCACCAGATTCCACGTTGGATGATTTCGACATTAAAACACCAGCTGATAGTGGATGTCCTATAATGGTTATTATAAATCCCTATGAACCATTGGATGACTAGCCCCTATTAATGATTATTAACCATTAGTATTGACCACAGCTCATATGATGTTCTGATTGGGAATATGTTTGAAAAGGGTTGGGTACAATAATCAATCACCGCCAAGCTGCTTGTATGCCCCAGGCTAAGCATCAGCTAACATCCACCACATCACTGAGGAGACCCCCTGAAGTCAGAATCCTACCCTTTCCACAGGGAACAACTTCACGAAATGACTTGGTAGAGATCCAACAAACTCAACCTTTGCTCAGATCCTAAGATCCCTTTTGAAGGTCCTACTTTCAAGGATTACCCAACATCCTAAAATCAACCTTTCGGGAAACTGTAAACTTGATCAAGCGTCCCTGATACCAAGCAGCATATGTGGTTTTGCACAATTATCTAATACAATTTGACTGGGGGAAATCATTATCAATATTATCTGTATGGTTGCTAATAATACCATAATAAGTCCAGTTGCAATACTAATTATGGATTAAAACCATATATATTATAGATGGATTTGTCTGAAGATATGTTGCTGCGTGATTTCATTTTTAAAATGAGTCAACGTCGGATTGTGAAACTTCCCGGTCGGGATGGTGAAACTTGCAGAACGGATTGTGCAACTTGGATTGTGAAACTTGGAAGTTGAATTGTGAAACTTGCAGGACATATTGTGAAACTGGTATTGTGAAGCTTTAAATTCGGACTGCGAAACTGTGAAGTGAGATTGTGAAACTCTCAAACCGGATTGTGAAACTCTGGGGAGAGATCGTGAAACTGGTATTGTGGAACTCTGAAGACAAATTGTGAAACTCTGGGGAGAGATCGTGAAACTGGTATTGTGGAACTCTGAAGACAAATTGTGAAACTCTGGGGGGGCGATTGTGAAACTGGTATTGTGAAACTCTGAAGAGAGATTGTGAAACTCTGGGCAGAGATTTTGACACTGGTATTGTAACTCTGAAGAGCGATTGTGGAAGTCTGGGGAGAGATTGTGACAATGGTCTTGCGAAACTCTGAAGATAGATCAGGAAACTGTAAAACTCCAAGTTTCACAATCAAAGCCAAGTTTCGGAATCCAACCTCCAAGTTTCACAATCCGACGTTTGAAAATCCTTGCTGCTGCAGCTAGCACAAATTTGAAATTCCATGGGGGTGGGAATTTTGATATCATCTTACACTCATGGACATTTCAAAGTCTGTTTGAAGTTCCATGGAGGTGGGAATTTTGATATCATTTTGCCCTTGTGCACGTCCCCCGTCAATTTGAAGTTCCATGGGGGTGGGAATTTTGATATCACCTTGCCCTTTTGCACATTCCCCGTCAATTTGAAGTTCCCTGGGGTCCGAATATTGAAATCACCTTACCTTTGTGGACACACCGTGTCAATGGAAATTTGATGGGGGTGGGAATTGGGTCCACATTTTTGTGGGGATGTTTTTTTGTTTTTTTTTCTTTTTTTTTTTTCAGTCTGGGGTGCTGCATTTTGGAGCTAAAATGTGCCATTTGCACCGTTCATCGGCTTTTCCATGGTTTTAGCCGGTTTTTCCATGGTGTTCATTGATTTACCCAAAGTTTTCATCGATTTTTCCATAGTTTTCATAGATGTTTCCAGAGTTTTCATTAAGTTTTCCATGGTTTCAATTGATTTTTCCATGGTTTCGATCGATTTTTCCATGCATAACATGCACCTGGTGAACATGTAGAGTATAGGTCTAAGGTTTATTTAGGGCTAGTTTAGGTTTAATTAGGGTTATTTTAGGGTTTATTTAGGGTTATTTTAGGGTTCGTTTGGTGTTTATTTACGGTTGGTTTAGGGTTTATTTAGGGTTATTTAGTGTTGCCTTAGATTTATTTAGGGTTGGTTTAGGGTTATTTAGGCTTGGTTTATGGGGGTCATTTAGGTTATGTTTAGGTTTGGTTTGGTGTTTATTTGGTGTTTGTTTAGGGTTTATGTAGGGTTGGCTTAGTGTTCATTTAGGCTTGGTTTAGGGTTGGTTTAGGGTTTATTTAGGGTTTATTTAGGATTGGATTAATATTTATTTACCATTGGTTTAAGGTTTATCTAGGGTTATTTAGGGCTGGCTTAGATTTATTTAGAGTTGGTTTAGGGTTTATTTAGGGTTGGTTTATGGTTGGCTTAGGCTTAGGCTTGTGGTTTAGGGTTGGTTTAGGGTTTATTTAAGCTTGGTTTAGGGTTGGTTTAAAGTTTATTTAGGGTTGGGCTAGTGTTTATTTAGGTTTGGTCTACGGTTAATTTGACGTTTGTTTAGGTTTTATCTAAGGCTGTTTAGGGTTGGTTTAGGGTTCGTTTGGGGTTGGTTTCAGGTTGGCTTAGGGTTAGTTTAAAGTTTATTTAGGGTTGGTTTAGGGTTATTTAGTTTAGGGTTGGTTTAGGGTTTATCTAGGGAGGGTTATGTTGGGTTGGTTTATGCTTGGTTTAGGGTAATTTAGTGTTATTTAGGGCTATTTATTGTTATTTAGGGTTGGCTTATGGTCGGTTTAAAGTCTGTTGAGGGTTTGATTAAGGTACATGTAGGGATACAAGCTGTATGTATGTAAAGAAAGATAGGTAGGTAGATAGATTTAGATAGATAGATAGATAGATAGATGTATAGACAAATAGACAGATTGGTAGATTGATAGGTTGAAAGATTGATAGATTGATAGATTGGATAGGTTGGATATATTGGTAGATTGGATAGATTAGATAGATTAGATAGGTTAGATAGGTTAGACAGACAGAAAGATTGATAGATTAGATTAGATCAGGTTAGGTTAGGTGAGATTAGATTAGATTGGGCTGGATTAGATTAGATTAGATCAGGGTAAATAGATAGATTAAATAGATAGCTTAAACAGATAGATTAAATAGATAGATTAAGCAGGCAGATCAGATAGAGAGACTAAAAAGATAGACTAAATAGATAAATTAAATAGAAAAATTAAAAAGATAGATTCATAGATAGGTTAGATAGATTTTATAGATTAGATAGGTTCGATTAGATAGATTTGATAGAATTGATAGATTAGATAGATTAGATAGGTTAGATAGATTAGATAGGTTGGATAGGCTAGACAGATTAGATAGATTAGACAGACTAGATAGATAAGATAAAACAAGATAAAACAAGATAAAATGAGATAAGATTAGATAACATTAGAATAGGTTAGATTAAATTAGCTTAGGTTAGAAAGATAGATAGATAGGTAAAGCATGGTAAAGCCACAAAAGCCACACACCGACAAAAGCCACAAAAGCCACAAAGCCAGGCTGGAAAACAAAAAAAACGAAAAACATAGCCCTCCATGGGAATTTTGATATCATCTTACTCTTGTGGACAATCCAAGTCAGTTTGAAGTTCCATACGGGGTGGGAATTTTGATGTCATCTTACCCTCATGGACATTTCAAAGTCTGTTTGAAGTTCCATGGAGGTGGGAATTTTGATATCACCTTGCCCTTTTGCACATTCCCCGTCAATTTGAAGTTCCCTGGGGGTCCGAATATTGAAATCACCTTACCTTTGTGGTCACTCCGTGTCAATTGAAGTTCCATGGCGGTGGGAATTTTGATATCATCTTACCCTTGCGGACAATCCAAGTCAGTTTGATGTTCTATGGTGGTGCGGATTTTGATATCATCTTGCCCTTGTGCACATTCCCTCCATGGTGGCGGGACTTTTGAAATTATCTTCGAATTTTGATATCATCTTACCCTTGTGGACAGTCGGTCGGTGTCAATTTCAAGTTCCATGGGGGTTACAATTGTTTGGGGGAACTTTAGTTGCACAGTTGCGCAATCCGGCGACCGGAGTTGCGCAAGCAGAGTTGCACAAGCCTAGGAGTTACGCAATCTATCAAAAGCAGTTGCGCAAGCAGAGTTGCGCAATCCTGGAAGTTGGGCAAGCGGAGTTGCGCCATCCTTGGAGTTGCGCAAGCAAAGTTTCGCAATCCTAGTTGCGCAATCCGACAAAGGAGTTGCGCAATCCTAGTTGCGCAATCCGGAGAAGTTTCGGAATCGGACAATAAACAAAAATGCTACCCACAACATGGCACATGAAAACGGGGTCCCGAATGGAGGTGTCAAAATTGTTGTACCAATGGACCCACCAACTTTTGTCATGTTCTGAACAACTAGATTGGGTCAAAGCCTGAGGCCGGTTTCACATCAGAATAGAGTGTAAATGGATGTTATTCCGTTGTTGGTATAGGTTTGACTGTCAACTATCCACAAATCATATACATAAACCAGAAATTTCCCGGTGTTGGCCAATCATATCCCATCATAAACCTATTCCAACTACAACTTTTAACGTTTTATCAGATTTTATCATTATGTTCTCAAAACTGTTCAAATTTGGGATACATTGATACATATCCCGGTTCGTAAATATGATCATTTTTTGTCGGTTAAATCCCTATCATATATGTATGTATGTATGTACGTACGTACGTACGTACGTACGTATGTATGTGTGTGTGTCTGTATGTATGTATGTATGTATGTATGTATATATATATATTTACCCAGAGAGTTGAGCATCATCTTCCATGTCCATCTGGTTCTGGGTCTGATATGAGACAAGTGCACTATACAGCAACACATAACTCCAGTCACACCAGCCCCACTGACCAAGGGAAAAACATGCGATCAGAAGGGTGATAGGGAGAAGAGTGCCTGAAAAAAAATGAACATTTTCCATGATCATAAGTGCGAGTCGAAACCATGGTACATACCCCTCGGTTCACTCCACAATAGTTTGCAAATGAATGTGAATCTCCCCAAAATATGGTATTTCATTGGCTTTACCGATCCCCAAATCATGTTGGTTCCATATCAAAGTATATCCCTCAAAATATCCCCCAAAAACGGCCCTTTTTGTGGTCCTATATGAGTATATGGCTTTTGAATTTTGGACCACATCCAGATTTTCAGACAGACCATGACAGACCCATGTCTTCACTGGGCTGACCCCGCCATGATTCATCATCCCAATGCAAGGTCCGCTCGATGGAATGGCTGGGAAGCCACCAACCATCTCCATGTCGATGCCCTGAAAAACCAAAAAAATCTACAGATTTCCCCAGTTTTTTTGAATTTTATACAATTTGTGGATACAATGTTTTACCAACAATAATGGGATACAGGTTTTTTCCATGCTTCCCCATTACAATTTGGAAATGTATTCTAAAAAATGTGGATATTTACCAACAACATTGTCAGATATCATTGGGATATTGTCAGATATCATTGGGTATCATTGGATATCACGGGATTTTTTAAGGCATATCATGGGATATAATGGGTCTGTAATGGGATATAATGGAGAAAATGATGGTGTAACCGTGTAACCAACAAGAATGAGGATGTAATTTCATAATGCCATTCTGAATGGAGATATCATTGGATTCATTGCCATTGCATTTATATTAATATAATGGTATATAATGAATATAATGGTACGCAAGGATATGGATGCCATATGGCTATGAAAAAATGTGTAAAAAAACCAGTGGATTCGGGATGATTTGGGGAATGCCTTGGACAAGTTGCGGCCCTACTGCAGGGCACCAAGTAGGACGTTTTCGGAAGGGCAAACCTATGGCCAAGTTGTATCGTTTCTGGAGACATTCAGTCCCTTTACATTGCCAAAGACTTGTACAAGGTTATGAAATAATCCCATTTTGCGGGAAATCCATCTTGACCCAACACCCACGTATAGGCCATGAAAATCGGTCGAAACACCAACATGTCAGGGTCAAACATTTATTTTTTGAATTTTGTTTGCAAATTTGAACTGTGGCCTCCAAGTCCAATGAAATTTGGACTGACCTGAAAATGGATGAAGATTCATTGTTCAGGGTTTTTTGTAACGTGGGTACAATGTCATAAACCACCCATGACTCGGAATGGTAAACATACGCGCAAACCCCCCAGTTCGCCCACACAATTTCTTAGGGATTTTGAAGGAATATAAATTCCGACCCCCGTTAAATTTTACTTACATTCAATTGGGAAGATCAACAAGGGCATTAGGAATATAAATTCCCACCCCTGTTAAATTTTGCATTCAATTGGGAAGATCAACAAAGGTATGAGGGAATATTACAGTCCCACCCCCGTTAAACTTCTACATTCATTGAAGATTTTCAAGAAGGGTTTAGTTCTCCCACCCCCGTTAAATTTCTACATTCATTGAAGATCTCCAATGAGGGTTTAATTTCCCACCCCTGTTAAATTTCTACATTCATTGAAGATCTTCAATCAGGGTTTAGTTCTCCCACCCCGTTAAAATTTTACATTCATTGAAGATCTTCAATAAGGTTTTGATGATGATGATGATGACGACGATGATGATGATGATGACGACGATGATGATGATGGTGATGATGATGATGATGCTGATGATGATGACGATGTTGTTGTAACATTCAACGCACAGGTAGCTAAGCTGTGCGTTGCAAGATGAAAGCCATGATCATGGACATGTGCATTTTGTCCCACAAAACACAGTGTTTTTTGATGTTCGAACACGTCTTTTCTGCGTCGGCGCGGGCAAACTGAGGGGTTTTACATGGTTTTACCGTAAACATACCACCTATAAAATGGTGATGACTGGGGGATGGTTTCTGATTGTTTTACCCACATTATATCATTCAAAAGGGGATTCCCATGGGATTCCCATGACCTGGCGAGCTGTGGCTCAGCCAAGCAGTTGAAGCCAACAAAGCCACTCGGAGATGCGACATCGCACCGCAGCTGAAGGAAACTTCAACGGTGATGTTGCCTAAAAATCACCGGCCTTCCCAAGTCAAAAATGAGTTTTTACAAAGTTAAGGTGATATTTTGACATGTTTCTTGGTTTTGAGTTTTTTTTGGCGGCGAAATGTGGATATGTTAAAAAATTCAACATGTTGCCCCAATTAATGTAGATTGAACGAATCGCCGCATCAATGTTGATTTTACAAACAACAATTTTTGCTATGGAACGATGCCGGTTTTGGGTCATCACCTTTCAATATTGGAAATCAAAACAGATGGCCCAAAAAACAAACACTGCTCACGTAATTCAGATTTTTCAAAAGAGTTCGGAGGGTTGAAACATGCCATGATTTTCAACAAAAATGGATTGCCTCGTGTGCAAAACAATCTCAACACCACAGTTTCAATGCATCTGCATGCGTCACGACACCCCAAAAAACAAAACAATTGGAGACGGGGGCACGTTTTATGGGTTGTCACATGTTCATGGCCAGTTTGATCCTACATGTCAATGTCATTGTTTCAGGAGCCTAGTGGAAAGTTTGATCCAACGCATCCGGGGCCCTTTTGAGTTCACATGTATTGAAAAACCATGACCAGCGCAAATTTCACAAGACACACACACACAAGTGCACTTTCACAACGCACCTCCCACCGCACCAGCGAAACTCAAAAAGTGTTTGTGATGAACCCGAAACGAAGTGGGCGGAAACGAAATTCAAATCAAACAACACATACATGTAGTGAACGGCTGCGCCGGGCGGAATTTGCAAGAAAAAATTAGAGGTGTATAGGATTTTTTGTTGACATGCAGAACGCAGTGAAAGGGTGGGTGACATGCATCAATGAATGGTAATTCAACGAAATCAAATGAAATTCATGAGCAACACATCAATGATCGTCAATGAAGGTTCGCATGAAAGTCTGCAAATCCTTTTGGAACCGAAAGCGCCTCGAAGATGCAGTCTCAGCTGAACATGCTATGACTGACTTGTAACTGTTATGATCTACTGAACATGCAACACATGACAACTGAGTGCAGGATGCGTCAAATGTTTACACCCCACCTCAGTTAGCAGCTTTGCTGCGTTACCGTCATTTGCTCCGCAGGATTCATCAAAATCCTTTCTGTTGTCATTTTTGGAGCTCTGTGCTGTGAAACTCGAATGGCACGATTGCCAGTGATGAGAGTCTGGTGTCCCATCTTTAATGACAATGTCGTATGGTGCCACCTGGAAAACTGCCTCTGTGGGCCTGAGAATTCAATAGAATTCTTGATCTCCTTCCATTCCTTCGTTCTCTGTTGTTTCCTCTGCATCTCTTCCATAGTGAACCACCGCCCATTCGTCAGGGTCACTCACCTCACATTGCTCACTTGAGCGGTAACGCGAGAGACGTTGGGAGGCTGTCTCCTCTGTGCTCATTGGATCATCTCCTTCTGAATCTGCTGGATCAGGGGTTCTGAAGACATCTGCAAAGATCCTCAGAAGATCCATGGTTGTATCAATCTTTTGCAGTTCCAACAGCTTCACAATGCACTTGTGGATCTCCTTGTGGCTGTTGGTAAGGAGATTGCGTTCGTTTTTTCCCAAATTGTAAGTTGGAGAGTCATCATCTTCTGATAGTTCATATTCCTCATGCAAAGAGTTCAGACTTTTCTCTCGGTTTTCCAAACTCGCATTTGGCAAACGAAGTAGACTTGCTTCAAGCCATCGGTGTATCTGCTGATACTTCATGCTGGCACCAATGTTTCAAGCTTCACTTGCACGCCTGCCACGCGCTCGCACCAACGT